AATTAATTCATTAAAGGTTTCCTATTGGGTACGAACAATGGTTATACGACCAAAAGAGCAGCGGTTACGGGATAAATATCTATTAAAATTTATTAAAATCATGAAGGTAAATTGTTTTACTTTCCTCTTCAGCACCGACTACACAGCAGTCTTTGATCGACCATGAAATTTCAAAGAAAACAGCTGTTTATTTGATGCTCAAAGTGCATCAGCTGTTTTCTTAACGAGAATTTTATCTAATGTTGAACCCATTCTTTCTACTCGTTTTTGTCCTCCTTTTTTTCCCCTGACACTTCTCAACTGTCATTTACAAAGAAAAAGATTTACAGCAATTGCGTAGTATGGGAAATTACAATTCCTACTTAGCGGTATTGTCTGCCCTTGAATCGGGTCCGATACGCCGTTTAGAATGGCCAAAGAATTGTGTCGATATGTTGAAGGAACATGCAGCGATCATGGACAGCACATTTTCCTTCAAAAATTATCGAAATCTTCTTGCTGAAAGTCGTCCCCCTTGTCTACCATATCTGTAAGTCCAAACTGTCAACTAGCACCAACAACTACTTCTACCGCATCCTGATGCTTTGTCTGTATAACTGTACATTATTACACATCAAGTCTTCAAAAATCAATCAAAACTCATTTCTTTCACTCATGCGTTAAAGTTTGGGAGTAAAAATTGTTTTCAAGAAAATTTTACATAACTTTAATTGTTAGTTTGGTTCAACCAACAAAGGAAGTATTATAAATAAAACAGAAGAGAAAAAATATTGCAGAGGTTTGGTACTACAAGACTTGACATTTGTACATATCGGAAATCCAGACTATCTGTCACCGAAACAGTGTCAAGGCAAGAAAAGCTTATTAAATTTCGGTAAACGATGGCAACAATTTACCATTCTTGACAGTATTCGTCGATTTAAAAGTTGGTAAGCCGTTTAACAAACAGTCCAACAAAGTTGAAAACACATAAAAGGACGTAAAAAAGGGAAAGGAAAAAGAAGAGCAAAGAAATTCATAACTCGCTTCTTTTTTCGTATCCCTTTGAAAGTAACACTGTGCTTGACTTTTATGAAAATTTTACAGTACCGTTCTAAGTTATAAGGCCAAAAATCATTTATACAAATATTATAGATGTGTTTTTTTACAGGAATTATTCCATCGAAAAAGACGACAGAATTCTTCAACTGTTTGGCGGCTTTAAAGATTATTTATCAGAGGATGATATATGGGAATTATCAGAAACTATAAAACCTCGCTCAAGAAAGAGCAAGTAATAAAATGAAAATGATGATATGTACTGTAATCATTAGCCAAAAAAAAAGAAAAAAAAATTTATCTAACAACTCCGATAATATGAAATAGCATATGATTAAAGCATTGGCAAACTTACACCGTGACCTACCTTCTAATATACTTCGTTTGCCTCCGTTATCCCCTCTTCCAACCCTGGCTTCATTTCTACTGTATTCCCCGACTAGAGGGAAGAAAAAAGAAGCAAAAAAAGACCAAACATGACAATTTTCAAATCAACGGGTAAAGATCATCATGTGAAGCATTTGCCAATGCATTTTCACTAATCACCAGTCACTTTTCTCGTCTTAAAATAAAAAACAGACAAATATGTACATTACAAGAATGAAATTCCCGCGAAATCACCAAAACTGAAAAGATCAGAAGCACAGTATGAGGAAAGCCACAAGACTTTGCTATAAAGCGATAAAAGTGACATCCCCCTTCCCCTCGTATCTGTTCTTTTTCCTTGTTCTGTAGTTTTTTTGTGAAAGAAAAAAACGCCTTGTAGATCCTCAGCTTGTATTTTGTCAGAAAAACTTCATGTCAAAAATATTAATGAACTGGTCTCAGCTCTCAGGCACTTTGAAGCTATGTATCACAGATTAAATAAAAGAAAAAGAAAGGAATAATATTTATTGTAATAATATTATCTGATGCTTTTTTCCGAGCTTACACCGTATGATTAAATGATTTGACATTATTGTCTCGACACTGTAACATTTATGATTAACCGATGAGAAAAAAAAGTCAAATGCGTGTCTTTTCCCAAAGTTTTTTTTATTTTTTGGCAAGCAAATCCGGTAATCGACAATGTTCGTGATTTAAATGCCTAATAACGAGCACAGACAAATCCTTCTAAAAATGTTATTTCTACAAACATTTCAACGTTCCAAATTAATAAAAATTTGTCCCAACAGTGTGAAAAACAAAACAACCTGCTCTCTTAAGAAGAACGCAACACC